CTTTTGATTGAAAGAAGCTTCTGTCCAAGTTTGGTAAAAATCCAGGATAGTTTATGAATCTAATAAATGTTTAAAAACTTTAACTGCAGACTGAATGTAATGTTAACTGGAAGAAAAAAAAATTTCCTTCTAGATACTAGCATTTGATCATAAACAAGCTTCTGTCCAAGTTTGGTACAAATCCAAAATAGTATAAGAAAGTTATCAAATTTTAAAAACTTTAACCACAGAGTGAATATGTTGTTTCCTGGCAGAAAATCTAAGTCCATTTAAAAATAAAATACGGAAAAAATGGATTTATTTTTTAACAAAATTTCCTTCTAGATACATTGTACTAGCTTTTGATCATAAACAAGCTTCTGTCCATGTTTGGTACAAATCCAAAATAGTATAAGAAAGTTATTAAAATTTTAAAAACTTAAACCACAGAGTGAATGTGTTGTTTCCTGGCAAAAAATCTAAGTCCATTTAAAAGTAAAATAAGGAAAAAATGGATTTATTTTTTTACAAAATTTACTTCTGGATACTATCTTATGATCATAAACAAGCTTCTGTCCAAGTTTGGTACAAACCAAGGATAGTTTAAGAAAGTTATTAAAATTTTAAAAACTTTAACCACAGAGTGAATGTAATATTTCCCGGCAGAAAAACTAAGTCCATTTATAAGTAAAATACGGAAAAAATGGAATTTTATTTTTACAAAATTTACTTCTGGATACTATCTTATGATCATAAACAAGCTTCTGTCCACGTTTGGTAGAAATCCAGGATAGTTTAAGAAAATTATTAAAATTTCAAAAACTTTAACCACAGAGTGAATATACATGTATGTGGACGCCGCCGCCGCCGCCGCCGCCGCCGCCGCCGCCGCCGACAACGACGACGACGACGACGACGCCGACGGAATGTAGGATTGCTATGTCTCGCTTTTTCGACTGAAGTCGAAGGCTCGACAAAAAATCAAGACATCTAAGATAAAAAGGTCAACTAATGGGCTTCAAGCAGTCAGGGGTATGACTTAAACAAGTGATTTCATTATCACATATTTCAGTGATTTGATAAATTCAGTTATCACCTGTTTAAATGATTTTGGTATATCCTTTGATCTTCTAATGCTAATTTAATTAATTTTCCATATTGTAACAATTTTTCCTGTAATTTTCCTGCATAGATCAATTATCCCTTTCTCTTGTATATTAATATTTCAGCAGTGCGCTTGGACAGTAAGTTAGTGCGCTAAAGCTTTTCAAAGTACCCTTGGGAATTTTTCTGTAATCAAATGTTCATTAACTACTCTAAATGGACTTACAGTCAGACAAAGCTTAAGAATTTTAAGTAACCTGATTGGTCTTATTTACACTTAGAATGATCAACTTCAAGGTTATGTCCTGATCTAAAAATTATTCCAGTTTATGCATATTTCAAATAAACTGTAAAAACTGACAGGCCCATCAAGCAAAAAATGATTACTGCATGTATATATTTGTTTTTGTTAAATGAAATGAAATCCTTGTATTTTAACCAATAAAAAATCAAGCTTGTGGGAAAAATATCAAGAAAATGTTATAAACACTTACATTTTTTTACTTCTCAAATTACTTGTTTCAGTGATTCTAAAAAGTCTGGGTCTATTTTTGTGAAAATTGTCAATTTCTCAAGCTGAAATCACTTAAAGATGTGATTCTGAAATCACTTGTATAAGTAGTACCCCTGACTGTCAAGAATTCTATAAAAAAAGTAATTTATCGTATGGCAAACTCTCAATCGTACCTGAATAGCATGAATAGGCATGAAACATTTGTCACTGGATGTTAACCATAAGAAAACCGACAAATCAATGGCTCCGATTCTATACAAGGAATCAATGATAAATTTAACAGAGACAGCCTTTAATGCCTAAGATTAGCCATCAATATATTAATTTCTTTTTAAGTTAAAAGGGCATTCAAATGATAACTGCTTTCATCGGAAGTATACTAGTTTACTGCTTAAGTGTGTTACAAACTAAAGCTTTCATTAGAAGTTCAAATTATTTCCGGCATTTCAATTAAAGTTAGTTGGCCGTAATTTTGAACACATTCTCAATTGCTAACTTTGATGTGTTATTTTTACAAATGAAAAAAGAAAGAAAGAAAAAAATCTCACTTTCTTTTCAGATGTCGACTTCGGACAGTTTTTGTTTCTTGGGAGTGTATCGAAAAAGAAACGTTTCGAAAAAAGTAAAATAACAAAAAATACCGAACTCCAAGGAAAATTCAAAACGGAAAGTCCTTTATCAAATGACAAAATCAAAAGCTCAAACGCATCAAACGAATGGAAAACAACTGTCATATATCTGACTTGGTAGAGGCATTTCCTTATGTAGAAAATGGTGGATTAAAACTGGTTTTATAGCTATAGCTAAACCTCTCACTTGTATGACAGTCGCATAGAATTCCATTATATTGACAACAATGTGTGAGCAAAACAAACAGACATAATAGGTAAAAAAAAGAATGCATCATGTTCTATATATACATATATATATATATAAACAACATTTTCCAAAAGACCAAAAAAAAGTGAAAAAGTATATCTTAACAAAACGCATTTGACTAGCAGGTCGAACAACGGATGTTCTTAAACCCTGGCAGTCAGCAGGGTTTAAGAACATCCGTTGTTCGACATGCTAGTCAAAAGCGTTCTGTTAAGATATACTTTTTCACTTTTTTGGGTCTTTTGGAAAATGTTGTTTGTGCTGTATTTAGACCCCTCTACCAAGAAATGTGTTTTGCATGCACACGTATAAAAAAATGCGGTTTTTATCCAACGCAATCATAGGTTTGAACGTTGTTTTCAATTCAGACTTGTTTATATTTTTTCGTTTGGGCTTGTATTATATTTGCCTTCGGGTTTCTATGATCCGTTCATCCTATTTTGACTCTTTCTAATTCAAGAGTCTATCCTAAATTGAGGTAAATTATATGGCCTTCCAAATACCATTTCGATAACTAACATCACCGAAGAGACATTAATTGTCGAAATCCGGATATGGTGTCCAAATTTTTGCACCTCATGTTTGCGGTATACCATCTTTTCCGCAAGTTTATTGTTTTCTGTTTGGTAATAAATTAATAATAAGATCTATTTTGTTACATCTTGTGATCCGTTTATTTGGCAATCGCCAATGGCATTCAGCAGGGTTTAAGAACATCAGTTGTTCGACCTGCTAGTCAAATGCATTTGTTAAAATATACCTTTTCACTCATTTGGTCTTTTGAAAAATGTTGTTTGTGCTGTATTTAGACCCCTCTACCATGAAATTTGTTTTGCATGCACGCGGTTGCGGTTTTTATCCAATAAGGAGATGCCGTATGATTGCCAATGAGACAACTATCCACCAAAGTAGAAATGAAGTGGATGTAATCAATTATAGGTAACCGTAATAACTGTTTGATCAATTGATTTTTTTCTTCAGATAATGATAAGTTAATATTGAAGAGGAAAACAAGTTTCATAAAGAGAAAAGTATCACCCAGTGGCCGCGATTTTTTTTTACATAAATGTATGCCTTTTATTATGTATTTACTAACGCAGACAGGTTTTAAGAGTAATCCTATTAGAATCATTCAAAATGGAAATTTTGTGATACACCTAAAGAGTAGACGGAGATCTAAGTCCTTAAAGCCGGCAGGGCGTCAGAGCAATATCGGACTACTCAAGAGAGGCCCCAAATGATTATTTTGTCAATCAGTGGAATAAAATTGAGAATGAAATTTGGTTATGTGTACCTCAAAGAAATTAGCAATATTTCCATTTACTGTGTAACAAGAACAAAAACAGATAATAGCCATGCATTTTACAAAAGATTCTAAGTATAAATAAGCTGTCATCTATGAAGTATGAGTGCCAATGAGACAACTATCAACCAGAGTCCAAATGTAGTTGATGGAGGCAACTATAATACTGACTTTTGTATGCGAGCGCTCAACCCTTCCCTAACCTTGGACAGTGGTGTAACAGAATAACATAAGAACAAACTATTAAAATCAGTTAGAAATGGTTTGACTCATCAGATTGGCTTGAAGCACAAATATAAAGCTAGCATAAACATGATAAAGACAAAATACACTGTGAAGTACTGATCTAAGAGTTCTCGCAATTACTTGAATATACAAGCTTTAAGAGGGATCTGGATGGGGTCCTTCATTTCTGTATTCTTTTAATATGTTTTGCCTATTTTTCTCTATTCTTTATTTATTTTATCCAATGATTATTTTTTATTCTTTATAATTTATCATAACATTATTCTCCATTCCTAATTTTTTTGGCTATTTTTCTCTATTCTTAATTTATGGGACCTTTATTGTGCACTTCTTGCCCATTATCCTCTAGCCTGTAAACCCCCCTCCACACCCTCTATAATAAACGACCAATCTCTGCTCTCCTTAATGTTGTGTGTACTTAACAGGTTCTCAAGACAAAAGCTTCGGATCCTGATCATGTTTATTTCGAACTGTAGGAAAGCATCAATCAATCAATGCACACGTTAATTTTGATCCAGCAAGGAATGACGCCCACGAGTTCTACTGTGGTTTTCCGGTATAAACGTACTATTAACATGATTAAAAATAGAACACGGTATTCTATCACATGTTGATATTGATATTATACTATCGTACTTCCTTATAGTTCAACAGTTCAAAGGAAACACTCCTTTAACTGTAAAACGACCAAGAAAATTTAATGTGTACAATGAAACAATAGACTTACGTAATACAATTGATAAGAAATAGGGACATACATTGCGCAATCTATGTTACTTATCGGATAAAAGATGTACTATGCTCATAATACTAACATAGAAGCCGCGTTCATTAAATAGAACGGTGTCTCATCAGCGACTGAAAAGGAGCGCCCAATAGCATTTGTTGTACTTCATAAAACGCCTTTGGTAACGTTTAATGGCCATTTCTGAGTAGGGTAACATTGGTTTTTAACATAATATCTTGTTTACTTACTTTTTGGTCGTATTGTTTACTGTTAACACTCACCAAAACATTGTCCGTTATCATAATACTAACTTTCTATTTATATCTTCACAGGTAAGTTCATATAGATATTGGTTTAAACATAGCGTAGACTGTTCGTGTGTTTAAATTGGCGTGACTTTAAAGTTAAATGAGGGAAATTTTGAATTATTAATACACACGAGTACATGTTTGATAACAATTACACGAAGTCATTGAAAATTCAATATTCAGTAACTCCAGACTACGAATCAACATGTGCGCTTGACCACTAGACCTCGCGGTAATCAAGGAGTTTTTTCGTGTGACCGATATCTATTGTACCGAATTGCGAAATTGGGAAGTTAAAGTCATTTTAATACAAAAAGTATACTGAATTAAAACGTTCACTTATATATACACAGTTAAAACTATAGTAGCCTCTGTTCAAACCACAGGCTTTTTTATATTATAGTACTTCATGTGTAGTATAAAATAGGTGAAAAAAAATAAAGAGGTAAACATGGAGGGGGGGGGGGGGGGGGGCACTTACTATGTAATGAGTGGTAGGGATGAGCCGCTGGAATAGGTCACTATTTCATGCTCCATAATATATGAAAAGGGTGAGAAATTCAAATTAATATATTATACCATTAGCCTAAGGTTGATATTATCATTTGCTTGATTATATCTTAAGTATCCGAAACTAATCAGATGTCAGTATTTATTTTTGATGCGGTTAAACCACAGTCTTACATTTAAATGCATCAGCTATTTTTCATTCCAATTAATCTCTATTTATCTTCCAATGTGGTATTTCCTCTGATGCTACTTATAGATGCTATAAATCCGATTATTTTGACATTTGCACCTATTTAAAATTCATAGGTTTGGATACATGAAACTTAATAACCATTATTAAATTATTAAAAGAAATTCCATAGTAATGTAACTTTTCATCAGTTTTTCATTTATATAAAACTGAAAGTGTTACTCTCTGGGGTGTTAATTACTATCTAACCAAACATGTTTTATAAATATTGTCTATTGAAATTTTATTTTTTTTCATAATGAAAGACATAAAAATGTAAATAGAGGAAAGTGTTTAAGATGTGACGAATTTATTGGAAAAGCAAGTTGTGATTATTGTGACTGTGTTGCTACTAAACATGAACGTGATGATGAGCCGGACCAAAAAAAAATTGCTATACTAATATACCAGAAGATGAAAAATATCCAAATATATCTATAGGTCTGTTTTTTGTTAATTGATATATGATGGGGTATATTTTTTTGATGAACAAAATATATGAAAAGGGTGGGGTACTTGATTTCTCAGCTGCTCACCCCAACCAAAGAAAGATTAAAGTGCCCCCCCCCCCCCCCCCCCAGAACATGGCGCAGTTTGATTCCATTTATTGGCGCAATTAATACCATCAGAAGAAGAATGTGTCCGTAATACACGGATGCCCCACTCGCACTATCATTTTCTATGTTCAGTTGACCGTGAAATTGGGATCAAAACTCTAATTTGGCTTTAAAATTAGACAGATCATATCATAGGGAACATGTGTACTAAGTTTCAACTTCATTAAAAACTACCTTGACCAAAAACTTTATGCTGAAGCGGGACAGACGGACGGACGGGACAGACGGACGGACGGGACGGCCGGACGGACGAACGGACGAACGGACCCACAGACCGAAAAACATAATGCCCCTAGGTGGGGTATAAAAATAGAGAGTGGCGCAAATTGATTTTAGCCGTTTATGTCTAAAAGATGTTCGAAGACTTTTTTTCAAATTTTGTTGTGTGTGTGTGTCAAGATTTTATTGTAAGAGTTTACGGATAAGATCAAGTAGAAATATTAAAGAAAGTTTACTTCAAATCTTAAACACTAAAAATACAAAAAAAATATTATTAGTAATATCTATTTCTTCTTAAAATTTACCGATTTATCTAAAAAGACCTATTGTTTGTTATAACAAATTAAAGATATATTAAAATACTGAAACTACCTTAAAAACAATGCATAAAAACAAATTAAAATAAATACTAAACAAAAACGCTGAAAAATTGTTTGATCAGGATATTACTTTTTTTAGATACAATGTAAATTTATAGTACACGATTCTGGTTTATTATAATCTAGATCTTATTTGAACGGTGAATTTACTGTACAGATAAGTTGTAGAAAGGAAAATCATCATTTGACAGGGTATAAGAGCAAAATCATTCTTTTAATCAATTTAAAAACAAACTTTGTTAGTAAGCACAAATTACACCCATACTAGATTCGAAGGCCAAGTGCACACAAATTACAATTAACAACACCATTATGATGACATTTACATAAAAATGAAATAAATTATTGAACATACAACACAATTAATGACCCCAAGTGACCCATATCATCAATTCCATAAACTGCTTAATAAAAGAATCTAAGATTTCACTTGCTGGCTAGTAGTTGGATTTTAAAGCTACCCTTGACATAGTTGGGTATTCGAACTTAGATACCCTTTATAGCTTGCTGTTCAGTGTGAGCCAAGGCTCCGTGTTGAAGGCCGTACTTTGACCTATAAATGTTAACTTTTTACAAATCGTGACTTGGATGGAGAGTTGTCTCATTGGCACTCATACCACATCTTCTTATTTCTATTAGATGTCCGTAAGTAAATAATATTCATACTAGCCTATTTTGAACTTTCTGTATAAGTCATCAACTATTTTAAGTACTAACCATGGTAATTTGAGTCATAAGAGTGTCTTATGAAAATACAAGAAAACTTGAATTAAAACAGATGCAAACAGATGCAAACAGAAGATATTGATGAAAAATATAAAAATATCATTTTAATCTATGTACAAAATGAATGCATTCGTGCATGTATTATCTAAAAGTTAATGTAAACTGAATGAGAGTTTAACGTTATCAGTAATGTTAATACGTTATCATACGTCAATCTACCGATTATAAGTGGATTTGATGGATCAATGACGTACTGTCAAGTTGGCATGTATGCGCCGTCTTCCGCATGCTGATCAAATTCCATGATCGTATATATGATTATTTTTCCATATATATAACATGTATAATTTATCCTTTTGCAACACTAAAATCAATTGTTCTGTAGTAATTCCAGTTTGCATAATAAATAAGACATCGTTTCATCCAGCAATGAGTTTGCAGAAGCGAAGCCATGTTTTCTCGGTTGTAAAATCGTTTTTAATACAAAAAAGAAGTGCACAAAACTCTTGATAGCATTATTTCGGATCCATTTCGCGGGCATCCTCGTAAAAAAAGATATAAACGGGATTTTCCATACATGCAGGAAATTACAACGGACAAAACTACAACAACTAACAATAAACTACACCTAAATATATCTGGCATACAAAAACAAAACAACAAAAACAACAAACAACACATGGTGCAGATAGTCTGACTAGGTGTAGGCATGCACACAATGTGGTTCTGTTAATTAAAGTACTTTAACTTGCGCACACACACAACCTTTTTCTTTTCCGGGTTTTTATTATGTGTTTTAGTTTACGACATTCGGTCAAGTATGTCGTAAAACTGTAACACACAAAAGAAAACAGTGTAGCAACCAAAAGGATTGCCACTAACTTTATTAAATACGGCACGTTTTCTTTGGAAGGCGGGACAAAATATGCTTGTTTCTACAGGAAGACAATAAACATAGCTAAGACAGCTACCACTGTTGGTTACCGAGCTAAATAAAAATATAAGAAAACAACACTTGTAACAAGTTTGAACAAGTTGCATCATAGATTTACTTAATAGACAGTATTTGTGAGAGGCCATTGTGTATTTGAAATCGTCAGATCATCAGAAGAAAGAACAATTTTAAATGAATTAGTGAATATATCACGCCTGTATATGCCTTGCTGTTAAAATATGTAAGAAGCTACGAACTTGAATATGTAATTTTCAGATTTTGTTTTATTTCCAACATTTTAATAAAGGATAGGATGAGAAATCCCTAATATCTAATGTATATATTAAAATTCTTTTGTACGAGAAACATTATACTTACAGAAATAATAATTACGCTGTATCCATAGAACATGTTAAACTGATGTATCATCTTTGAAATTGTCCATAGAAATTAGAATTGAAGCGTATGTTTTGCATTAATATTGATTCCTGTATGCTTTGACAGTTTATTTTGTTTTATATTAATTTGTCTAAAATATTGTTTATATGGTAAATAATATACTAAAAGTATTTGATCTGATTTTTTAACGATTTCACCAGGAACGGTAACTCCCTTTTTAATACCACTTAAAAGTGTTTTGAATAGTTGCAACAACTCACTGGAAGTGTCCGAAGTTCGACTGTTGCAAGGCAAAATTTCTGTTTTACCTGTGTATTACCTCATATTCTAGTATTTGTCCATTTTCGTCCGTCTAGTCAATTGAACTACTTTTTAAAATATACTCAATTAAAGACCCTCACGGTTCTAACAAAAAGCTTGTTAATTCCTTTTCTAAAAAATGAAAAAAAACACTGTATGTTTTGTGCGTCCAAAGCGCTATTCTAGATCTATCATAACCAGGGACGCTCAAACCCAAATATATGAAATCCAAGGATGTATAAAAGCCTGTACACTAGTGGAGCTATATGACAAAGAGGGACCTATTAACATTTATATTCACTCGGAGACTAACCGTCTTCAAGTCACGGTATCGACCCAGGCATGCGTACTAGTAAATGAAAATAACACAATACACATGGTGTGTCATAATTGTATGATTTAGAACAGTGACGGAATTATAGCATTAAAAGGAAAACACAAAAGTTACATTTCAATTCGATAAAAAAACTTAATGTTTTAATTCTTTTGAACTGCCGAAATATATTAAAATCAGTTCTACTGTATATTGACCATCAACTCGAAGGAATGATATGCAGAACCAAGTCTAACAACCCACACAAAAACGTAAGTCCCAGTCTTTGGACAGGTAAAAGCACCTTTATGGCTGTTAAATCCTCCGCCCTGGTTTGTCTTTACGACATCAAATACCAGTCGTCGACCAATGCCCGGGTTTGTTATCTTTTTTGACATGAAAGCGTAAAATGCTATTACTGACGATTTAGGGGTTTCTGGTCCTTTTTTACCACGGTAATTTACAGTGACATCATACTGACCTGAAATTGTACAAAACTGTTTGATATTGTTTTTACATGCTGGTTTCTTTTGCTGACATTATCGTTAATTAACTCCCGTTCATTTTTCTTGTTTTGATTTCGTCTTTCGTCTTAACAGTATGGATTTTTTTCCACCCGATCCATGAATATTGGGATTACATATGGTTGTATGATCGCTGATAGTCAAAATTGATACATTTATTATAATGCTTTCTCTTTGCAAAATCTGCATAACACGATTAGTTTAATATAACCTGTATAAGATGTGCATAAAATTAATATTATATCAGTCACTAGATAATAACCATGAAATAGCAAAAGTACCAAATTAAAAGCTAATGTAAATTTTATAAAACTCCGAAGTATCACATTTTACCAACTTACCGTCTGCTGTTTGGCATGAGGTCGTCGCGTCTGCAAAGGTTACCATATAAAAGACCAAAATCCAAGATATCAACTTGCTTGTTAGAGACATAACGACGTAAAAATTTTAGCATGATCTACAATGGAGCAGCTTTTATACGTATGATGTTCAAAACTATCATGTTGCTTTTGCGTGTTTATGCAATGTAATTTGAATCTGAGAAAACAGTAAAAAAATATATTTTCATCTTGGTCTAGTATAAGCAGCATGTTGTATAGTACTTTTTCATAAAAATGTTGCTCCACTGACTATATTTGCCACTGGATTTTGGAATTGACATTAATTAATTAAATTCAAGAAGCCTAAAAGTAGACTTATGTATTCACCGTTAATAAAACAATGTGGTGATGTTTGATTGCCAATAACACAACTATTTAGCAAAGACCAAAACACACTAAATTGCAAATATGGACATGCTGGGTAGAGTTAGGCATTATCGCTTCCAAAAGGCTACTTAAGGAAGGACACCTTCAAAGAGTCTTAAGGACACCTTCAAAGAGTCTTAAGGACACCTTGAAAGAGTTTAGTGACTTCAAATTCATCCCTACACGGAAACCCTTGGATTAGCCTATAGAAACCTTGATAGAGTGTTTAATGCCATTTTTTTATTTTTAAATTGCATACATTTCTGTGTCTTGACTTATAACTTGTCTGATATATATTTAACGATTATTTTGTTTTGGAGAGAACATTTTATCATGTTTATAAGTTTTAAACTTTCATTACTTCAGTTTTCTTGTTTTGTTAATGAATAAAGGTTTAAAATAACGAAATTTAGCGAATTGTTGTCAAAGTAAACACTAGTAACTGTTTCCAAGTTGAACATAACGATTTTACAAATGTGTATATAAGAGCTTGCATGCCAATATTTGAATTTGTTGTTTTGCATTTTGATAAGGTTTAACAAATTGGAATTAGTGAAAATGCGCTTCCAATTGTTCTTAAGTTTCACATCCACGTCAAAGGTCCTGCATCAATTATAACACGTAAATATATATATGTCTGTGGTCTAGCCAATTTTTTTGAATGATAAGTTATTTAAGTAAGTTTAAGATCCAGGCAAAAGGTAGGGATTTAAAGTAATACTTATTTATCGAAGACAATTCTTTGGGAACAGTTATTGTCTGAATTTGTCATGCCAAAACGTGCTTGCCTTGTCTTGGAACTAGCTAACATTGATAAGGCATCTTGCTACCACTTAGTTGTTTGGTTACTGTCGCTATATAAACATTTTGAAAACAACACTCCTAACAGGTTTCATGAAGTTTCATTAAAATATTTAATTGAAATAGATAGTATTTGTATTGGATAGAGGCCAGTTAGTATTTCAAATCGTCAACTGATCTGAAGAAAGAACAATTTTAAATGATTTCGTGAGTATATTATGCCTGTAGGCCTTGCTGTTGAAGATGACAGAAATGTCTCAAATATAAAATACTCATTTTGCTTATTCTTCTATATATTCTTCTTATAATTTTTGTTCGACATAAATATATTGTACATAATATTAAAAAAAAAGTGATTTGGTGTGATTGCCAATAAGACAACTCTCCACCAAATACCAAATGACGTCGATGTTAGCAACAACATCCGGCTTTCAATTGTTCACGATTTATAAGATCACGATTCATTGTTAACAAAATGTTTTCTTTTTTTTTGTTTGTTTGCATTTTTTCTTTTACTTCTTTCTATTTTTGTTACGTTAGTATGACTATAAGAATTTGGATTTTTAGCAATAAAACACCCTTTATCACTGTAAAGTAAATACAATCAATGATTGTTTATTTTTCTCTAAATTATATTAAAATTGAATACAAAATAAAGAATGTTATTTCATTTACCAGGATTTAATTATGTTAAGAAAGTGTCTAATAAAACTCCGTATTAATGATTATAAACTTGAAATATAAAAGGGTTAATATTCTAACTGTGTCCTATATACTTCCTCCTCGATTGTTATATTAACAATAAGTTAAGACTAAAACTATTTTTATAAGTTTGATTGAGAGGACGGATTTACCTAAGATAAAAAAAAATTACAAAATCATTGAACACTGTAACCATAGAAAATGTGAAACTGATCGGATAATATTTGAAGATGACCTTATAAACTGCGGACAGAAGCGTATGTTTTTATTGTATAAATATTGCATCGATAAAGTTCATATTTACTTTGACCTTTTGTTTCGTATAAGTTTGTCAAAACACTGTTTATATGGTAATATAGATATTGAATCCGATTTGTTAACGATATCATAGGAACGACGATAACTCCGTTCTTAATGTCATTCAGTGTCTTGCGCCAATTGCAACAATTAACCGAACGTCTCCGTGCATCGACTGTTCCTAATCACCGTTACTGTTTTACCTTGTATAGCGTCATATTTAAGGGGCAGTCAATTTTTCCTAAATCCAGTCAATTGAATTGCCTTTTAGAATATACCCAATTGGTTTAAAAAAAACTTGTAAATACACTATCTAAAACAATTGCACTATATATTTGGTGAGTTCAAAGCGCTATCTTGATATACTATCATCTGAAACGCTCAAAATCAAGAATATTAAAGCTCAGGACGTATCAAAACTTGAAAACGGAAGGAGCTATTTGACCTAAAGGGACCTATCTTTGCATGTGGAACACAGAACCTTAGTTTCTTGGTAATAATTACTGAGCTCATGATACTCTCGGAGACTAACCTTATTCCAACCACGGTATCGAGCAAACATGAGTGGTAGCAAATGAAAATAACACATTAAATATGGTATGTCCGAAACATTTTTTTGGATTAAAGAGCCTGGCATATTTGCTAAACAAAACTCAATAATCATGTAATCGGTGCTACAAGAAACTCTTGTAAATGATTGTTGTAGATATCATTATAACTCATTGCGAGAGAGGTCGCTTTTATTCGACGGTTCTGCATTATGAAAACAAATAACCTGTCCAGCATTAATTGATGCTGTTCAAAATAAATAATATTTACAACAGCAGATTGAAATAGATATACTGTCCCACAAAATGTGTGAACTAGTTATGAGTTTAAGATGGAAATAAAGATTTGTGCGGCATTGTCTTAACAAATGATAATTGTACCTTTCAATGATTGAACAATTTAAAAAAACAGATAGGGCCGAATTTTCGCATTACAAGGAATGCTCAATCTAGATATTTTATTTGTTTCAAAAAAACTGAATGTTTCAATTCTGTTCAGCTTTCGAAATAAATTTAAAGCAGTTCTACCTACATCTTCGCTGGCCAAGGACTATGATCCGCCCCAATACATTCGTGAAGAAGGCACTGGATCGTGAAATATTGGCTAGCAAAGATGTACTACTCAATAGCTTAGGGTAATCCACTATAGTCAGGCGGGAATGCTACGTTATAAACATCAAAAAGATTTGAGAGAATGCATCTATTTAAATAAAACTGTCTAGTTCAGTAACCATCCAGAAAATGCGGGTCTGCCGTGTTCATTACTATATAATACACCTACACCTTTGTAGGATGAGTGCATACGGACATAAACACTATCGCCATTCGACACTTCAGCAACAACTGTTCCACTAGTGCTACCGTTGGTATCTTTGTTATAAAGGTAGGTGGATCCATACACAGAATTATTGATCATCAACTCAAAGGAATGATATGCAGAACTTATTTTTTATGGACCATTTTTACCACGGTAATTTACAGTAACATCATACTGGCCTGAAATTATTTCAAAACTGTTTTAGTTGTTTTTGTTTAAATTCGGATGAATTGAAAACTGCAAAAATGGTATTTTTCTTAAATGCATGCACCACGTTCGCAACTCAAGACTAAGTCTTTTGTATAAAAATGAATGTAAAAAGTAATAGTAGGCTAACTAAAGCAAATACTGATACTACTACTGTATTTTTTTCATTCGCAACTGTCATTTACTCAAGTGATTGTACTGTTGAAGTTTGATACGCTTTAATTGATCTCGTTGAATAAAAGTAAGGTTATATCATATTATCCGTTTAAGTAGGTATCAATTATCAGGTTTTCTACATGTTAATACAGTAAGGTATCAGCTGGGAGTCACAATATGACGATCGTTTCGAGTTGTTGCATCGAACGAGTTCAGAAATGCTTTGAAATATTTTGTCGAACAGTTGACATTGTACAATATCAATATGAAGAAAATCAGATTATCGATCTATTTGATTGTATTTTACTGTGTGTTTTTTTTCACCAGAAAACGGAGGAAAAGTTTATTAGTTTGGGTTAGTCAAATATATCAAATTTGGTTCAAACATTATGATAATTCACGATCAAAGTTATCAATACCAGTTCAACGTATTTGACGTCACAACGCCTTGACATGCAGTTTTATGAAGAGCTGAGCAGATTAAAACAGGCAAAGGGAACACCGACAAATTGGAATATCGTTGAGTTTTATGGAGATAAATTCTTGAGTGAGCCTCGAGATTTGTCAGAAAACAACAATGCTCTCAAGGATAATTTTTTACATGCTGGTTTCTATTGCTGACATTATCTCTTATAAACTAAAAATATGAAAGCACACTCCCGTTCATTTATCTTGTTTTAATTTTGTCTATCGTCTTAGCAGTATGGATTTTCTAAACCCGATCGATGAATATGTTGCTATCAGGGATTACATATGGTTAGTTAAGCGCTGATAGTCAAAATTGATACATTTAGTATAATGCTTTCCCTTTGAAAAATCTGCATAAAACGATTATTTTAGAATAACATATATATGATGTGCATAATATTAATATTATATTAGTCATAAGATAATTACCATGAAATCAAAAAAATACATAATCAAAAGCTCGCGTAAAATCCATGATACGGCAAAGCACCTCCTACCTTTTTGAAAAGGTTTTACTTGTGAATTGTTGGATTTGGTTATTGTGTTACTTTGTATAATTACCAACTTACCGTCTGCTGTTCGGCATGAGGTCGTCGCGCCTGCACATGTTACCATATAAAAGACCACAATCCAAGAAATCAACATGCTTGTTAGAGACATAACGCCTGAAATATTCTAGCGTGATCTACAACAGAGCAGCTTTTATACGTATGTGATATTCAAAACTATAATGTTACTTTTGCATGTTTATGCTATGAAATTTGAAATTGAGAAAACAGTAAACAAATATATTGTGATCTTGGTCTAGTATAAGCAGCATGTTGTATACTAGAATTTCATAAACATGTTTCTCCCCTGAGTATAGTTGTAATATTTGCTTCTGAACTTAGAATTGTAATTAATTAATTAAATTCAAGAGGCCTAAAAGTAGATTGATGTATTCACCTTTATTAAAACATAGTCCAAATCGTCTGAATAGGTGAAGGCATGCACACAATGTGGTTCTTAATTGAATAACGTTAAATTGCGCACACCCACACCCTTTTTTGCAGGTTTTTGATTATGTGTTTTAGTTTACGACATTTGGTATAGTATGTCGTAAAACTGCAACACACAATAAAAAACAGTGTATATCTACCAATGAAATTACCACTAATAGAGCAAATACGGCATGTTATATTTGGAAAGCAGGGCAAAATATTCTTGCTTCTACAGGTAGACAATTAACATAGCTAAGACAGCTACCACTGTTGGTTACCGAGCTAAATAAAAATATAAGAAAACAACACTCGAAGTTTCGTCATAGATTTACTTGCCATAGGCAGTATTTGTGAGAGGCCAGTGAATTCTTGAAATCGTCAGATTGTTAAAAGAAAGAACTAAGTTTAAATGAATAAGTGTGTGTATCACGCCTGTATATGCCTTGCTCAGTGTTAAAAGATGTAAGAAACTACGAACTTGAATTTAACATTTTCAGATTTTGTTCTACTTCCGTCATTTTAATAAAAGGTAGGATGATAAATACCTAATATCTGATGTATTTCTTTTTCGAGAAACATTGTATTTACAGAAACAATAATTACGCTGTATCTTTAGAACATTTTTCATAGAAATTAGGATTGAAGCGTTTGTTTTGTTTTTTTGTACTTTTCTTTGCTTTAATATTGATTCGTGTATGCTTTGACAGTTTATTTTGTTTTGAATTAATTTGTCTAAAACATAGTTGACGTACGGTGACCTATAGTTGTTAATTTCTGTGTCATTTGGTCTCTTGTAAAGAGTTGTTTCATTTGCAATCATACCACATCTCCTTTTTTAAAATTTATATGGTAATTATATATTTGATCTGATTTGTTAGCGATTTGACCAGGAACGGTAACTCCCTTTTTAATATCATTTAAAAGTGTCTTGAACATTTGCAACTTTTCACCGGAAGTCTCCGAAGTTCGACTGTTGCTAGGCAAAATTTATGATTTACCTATGTATTACCTCATATTCTTGTGTCTGTACAGTTTCGACCGTCTAGTCAATTGAACTACTTTTTAGAATATACTCAATTAGAGTACCCTAACGGTTCTAATGAAAAGCTAAATGGGTGGGGTTTGAAAATAAACAATCTGACAGGGGTTGCTGTTGGTAAGAATAAATAATCTTTACAAAAACAGCTTATTATTGATATCCCAAGACACACAATGTGTGAGGTGGTTTTGCATGCATATGGAAGATGGAAATTAGTTTTTGTGCGGCATTGTCTAGAAAAATCATAACTGTATGATTTAGAACAGTGGCTTAATTTTAGAAATAAAAGATAAACAAAACAGTTGTATTTTAATTCGATAAAAGAAACGTAATGTTTTAATTCCTTTGAATTGCGAAATAAATTAAACACTTCTGTTGTATAACTGAGCCACTTTATTCTAGCGATAATGCTATGCAATAAACATATTTTTTTTTGTTGAGATAATTCATTTATTTCAATCAAACTGTTTAGTTCAGTAACCATCCAGAAAATGCTGTTCTACCGTATGAATCACTATGTAATACACCCGAACCTTTGTAGGAAGAGTGCACACGAACGTAAACACTATCGTCCATCGACACATCTGCAACAACTGTACCACTAATGCTACCGTTGGTATCTTTGTTATAAAGGTAGGTGGATCCATACACGGAATTATTGATCATCAACTCAAAGGAATGATATGCAGGATCCAGTCTGACAACCCACATGAAAACGTAGATCCCAGTCCTTGGACAGGTAAAAACACCTGTATGACTATTATAACCACCGCCCTGGTTTCACTTTACGACATCAAATACCAGTCGTCGACCAACGCCCGGGTTTGTTATCTTTTTTGACATGAAAGCGTAAAATGCTATAACTGTCGATTTATGAGTTTCTTGACCATTTTTACCACGATTATTTACAGTGACATCATACTGACCTGAAATTGTTCAAAACTGTTTTAGTTTGATTTGTTAAAATTCAGATCAATTGAAAACTACAAACATGGTATTTTTCTTTAATGCATACATCTCGTTCGCAACTCATGACTATAAGTCTTTCGCATAAAAATGAATGCAAAAGTTATAGTAAGCTAACTAGAGCAAAACCTGATACTAGTACTGTATTGTTTTCTCATTCGCAACTGTCATTTACTCAAGTTTGATACGCATGAATTGATCTCGATGAATAAAGGTAAGGTTATATTACTTTATTGTCCGTTAAGTAAGTATCGATTATCAGGTTTTCTACATATTTATACTGCACAATATCAGCTGCGAGTCTTATGACGATTGTTTTGAGTTATCGCTTCGAACGAGTTCAAAAATGATTTGGCCGTCTCGGAGGTATCGTGGTAGTGTGTTTGCCTCGAGTGCGGAAGGTCGTGGGTTTGAACCTCGGTCGGGTCAAACCAAAGACTTTAAAATTGGTATTTGCTAATTATCCGCTAAGCACGCGGCATTAAGGAGTAAGAGCAAAGACTGGTTGGCTCTGAGTCAGAATAATGTGTCCGGGTAAGGTGACAATGTCTTCCATCGAACTGTTACCTTGTGAACTAGCACGTTTAAAATCCGGCTCAGCGTGTCGGTCTAGTATCCAGCAGGGTAATTATTCATATTACATTAACATGTTATCGTTCTGAATATGCATATTAATTTGCCGCTGGACGTTAAGCATCCATCCATCCATCAAAAATGATTTTGAAATATTTGTTGACCAGGTGACGTTGTACAATGTCATATGATAAAAATCAGATTATCGATCTATTTGATTGTATTTGTCTGTGTGTTTTTTGTGATGGAAAGTTTGTTTAACATCAGCAAACGGGTGAAAGGTTTATAAGTTGGGATCACTAAAACGTAACAAAGTGGGTTCAAACATTATGATAATTCACGGTCAAAGTTATCAATACAGAACTAACGTATTGGACATAACACAATCTGATTAAAATTTCTGACCTATATTAACTCTCGTACATATACGTATGAGTATAAAGAAATCAGAAATATATATTTGATATAATGCTTCCCCTTTGCAAAATCTGCATAACACACTTAGTTTAATATATTCTACTAGAACACACCCGTGACATCGCGGGTCCGTGACTGAATTAAAGTACCTACACCTTATTTTCAGCTTGGATTTTTAGTATTCGTATTGTTATTTGATAAAGTCATGCTGATTATAAGGTGCCAAGTTTTCTCTGCTTTCAAACTGTTTAATTATTGATAATG